AGTTTGCAATTGGGCAGCAGACTGAGCAGGCACACAGGTTATGCAGGCATTCCTCAATCCATTAAGATGTATTTCTATTTAAATCATAGTAATCCTACATTGGGGACGCCTGTGGGTTAAACCACAGAGCCTAGGACTTGCCGATCAGAAGGTCGACGGTTTGAATCCCCGTGACGGGGTGAGCTCCCGTTGCTTGGTCCCTGCTCCTGCCAACCTAGCAGTTTGAAAGCACATCAAAGTGCAAGTAGATAAATAGGTACCGCTCCGGCGGGAAGCTAAACGGCGTTTCCGTGTGCTGCTCTGGTTTGCCAGAAGCGGCTTAGTCATGCTGGCCACATGACCCGGAAGCTGTACGCTGGCTCCCTTGGCCAATAAAGCGAAATATTCGCCGCAACCCCAGAGTCAGTCATGACTGGACCTAATGGTCAGGGGTCCCTTTACCTTTACCTTTAATCCTACATTTCCATTTCTACATATGAAATAGCATATGCGGATTCCAGTCCTCTGAGTGGGCGTGGATGGAGTGCAGCAGTGTGGTTCAGCTCGGCTTCCTCTCTGCGGGCATCGGGGGGGGGGCTTTCCTGTCAAGGGCAGCATCAGCCAGCCAGGCTCCACCCTGTGCAGGTGGGCAGGCAGGTAGAACAGTGTGGCTCTGGTGGGGGGTCACTCCGGCGGTGTCTGCAGTGAAGTCTGGGCTAACAAAGCAGACTCCGTTCATCCTCCTTGCCCCGCCCCTGCCTGGCACACACACCCGGGGCACCGGCAAACCAAGCTACGCCACTAAGTAGACAATCCTTGCGGTCCCTTCCAACTATGATTCTAAGAATTGGGGCTCCTTACGGAATATTCTGTCACTGATCGTTATGCTGTACAGTGGTACCTCGGGTTAAGAACTTAATTCATTCCGGAGGTCAGTTCTTAACCTGAAACTGTTCTTAACCTGAGACACCACTTTAGCTAATGGGGTCTCCCGCTACCGCTGCACGATTTCTGTTCTCATCCTGAAGCAAAGTTCTTAACCCCAGGTACTATTTCTGGGTTAGCAGAGTCTGTAACCTGAAGCGTCTGTAACCCAAGGTACCACTGTATAGTTTATTTTATTTCAGATTGTTGTTTTAGCATTTGTATTTAAAAGCTCTTTTTTGTGTGATTGCTGATAGCCACTCTGGGCTCTTGTGGGAGCAAGAATGGTGTGTCCGGAAATAATAATAATAATAATAATAATAATAATAATCCAATTTGTATTCTCTGGCAAAAACCTAGTAATTAAAACAACAACCCTGTTGCCAACAACCTGCCTGTGATATCTGAATGACCCATTTTTATAATTTAGAATCCCCCATCCGGCCATCTGAAAGCACCCTAAGGCAAAAATCTCGCAAGATGTGAGCTAACGCACCATCCCAACAGGTGGTCTGGGGGAACATGGACCAGAATTGATAGACTGGTAAGTTTGCATGGTTGGGCACTATTGCAGCTGGGGAAGCTGGAAGGGATTTGAAAGCTGGAAGGGAATCTAAAAATCTAGGTCAAAAAGACTAGATGTGCATATCTTCCCTTCAAGATGCCATTGATAATATTCTAAAAGGCAACATGTTTTAATTAGGTCACTGCTCATCAAAGCATGTAACAAAGAGAAGAATATGCATAAAATCCAGAGCAGCATGATCTACTTGGAATGAATGACTGTCCCTTATGGGAAGGTCTTTAGGAACAGAGATGTGGGTGGGGGAAAAGGGGAAATTATCAGTTCCACTTCTCAAAAGCAGGGAGGAGGTCAGCTTCCAGCAGCCAGCCTATAAAGGCAAGCATGTAAAAATAGAAATGTACATTGTGTGTGTGTGTGTGTGTGTGTGTGTGTGTGTGTGTCTGCACGCAAATGTGTCTGAGTTTAACTCACATGAGCATTTTTTCATTCCTTGCCAAACTAGGATCGCCAGATGCTCTGGTTTTCTGTTCCTTATTGCAGGAACATCATTCACAGAAGAAAATGTGGCCGGTGAACTGCTCCTGTATTGTTATTCAAAATGCTACAATTCCATGAAGCGGCAGACCATATGACTCTTCTTTGAAATCTGGCAGCCTACTGCAAAGGATCCTTCTCAGCTGAAACTACCTGTGAGTATTGAAAGCAGCAAGCCCTTGGACTCTGCAATTGCAGCCTCAGCAGTGAGTCAAAGATGGTTTGGCAATCTTCAGACTCCAGGTTTAATGGCCTTGGCATTCCTCCATCTGTAGATGGCAGAGTGCATCGCTGCACGTAAGAACCATCCTCATCATGCATTTAAAGCATTCTTGCATCATCCCCCACCACAAAGAATCCTGGGTCAAAGATCTTTCTCTCCATGGTTGCGGTTTGGCTGTGGAGTCAGGGAACTCTCCATCCCAGTGCACAAACATGGCCCTTTGCCTGATATGTTCTTGTACCTTGCACAGAAGACCATCGAAACATGCTAGTAGAAGGGCTTTTTTTCAGCTGAAACTCACTAGAACTCAGTTCTGGCACCTCTCAGATGGGCGCTATTGCCACAATAAGAGAACAAGGAGGGCATTCCTGGTGAGTTCTTCTGGTACACCTTTTCTGCATAGAAAAATAGCACTGACTAGTAGACGCGGGTGGCACAGCAGGTTCAAATCCCCGTGACGGGGTGCGCTCCCATTGCTCGGTCCCTGCTCCTGCCAACCTAGCAGTTCGAAAGCATGTCAGAGTGCAAGTAGATAAATAGGTAAACGGCGGGAAGGTAAACGGCGTTTCTGTGCACTGCTCTGGTTCGCCAGAAGCGGCTTAGTCATGCTGGCCACATGACCCGGAAGCTGTACGCCGGCTCCCTCGGCCAATAAAGCGAGATGAGCGCCGCAACCCCAGAGTCGGCCACGATTGGACCTAACGGTCAGGGATCCCTTTACCTTTACCTTTAGTAGCATCTATTCTCAAACCAAGAATTGTGCTCTGACCCCAGCATCCCCTTCCATCGCTATTGCACACTGTAGAAGACTAAAACAAAAACTAAATACCTTACAGCTAGTTTGCTACATTTCAAGAGGCAGGTTTGCTACCTTGACTCTTGTTTGTAAGAATTAAGCCGTAATTGTTCCCCTAGATGTTTTTAATGTATGCCTAAGCATGGAAGCGCAGTAAGGGGGAGAGACAGGCATTTGCAAAGATTATCATACAGCTGTTCTTGCCAGGGGTAGCAGTGGCTGCATACGTACCGTGTATTTAATTTGGAAATTGCTTAATTGTTTAAATTGGTTGTGAACTTTTTGATGTTTTTTATTGTTTATGACTACTTTTGTTATGTTTGTAAATATGTACTTTTTCATGTTGAAACCTGCCTTGTGCATGGTTTTAACTATGAAAATGTGGCATGCAAAAAAAATGTATGTATGTATGTATGTATTTAAAGCATATCACTTTTTCCAATGAATCCTGGGAATGGTTGTTTACACCTCACAGAGCTACAGTTCCCAGCACCCTTAAACTACAGGTCCCAGGATTTTCTGAGGGAAAGCCATGTACTCAAAATGTGCCTTAAAAGTACAATGTGCAGTGCCGGATTTATGTATAAGCTAAACAAGCTATAGCTTGGGGCCCCACTCTCTTGGGCCCCACCAAAAAATTAAAGGTGAAAAAACTGGATGTACATTTCCAAAATATAAGATAAACAAATAAAATAAAACCTACCTACAGCAACAGTGTTTTGTGTTGTGTTGGCTCCTATGATGTAAGTAATGGGCGCCGCCTGCTAGCCTGCTCCCTAAAATATCGCATATAAAGGGCCCTTCAGTAGCTTAGGGCCTCATCAAACCCATATCATGCCCTGACAATGTGTACCCATTGTGTTGCTGCCCCTTAATATTTGAGATGTAACAGGAATTATTCCTGATAAACTGACATATTCTGGTTTCTGTCCTCTCAAACAAACTCAGCCCAGCTCTGTAATGCAAAGAGCAAAGGAATTGCTCCTTTTTACCTCCTTAATTGCCTGCAACCCACAGGTTATCAGGTGTGAAGGGAAACTAATTTGCATCAGGTGATCTTTGCTTGCGCACCCTTATTTACTAGTGAGCCGGCCTGAGAAATCAATGTTTGCAATATGCGTGCCATTTCCTTTACTGAGAAGATAAATTCTCCATTGGGAAGGGGGTGCTTTTCACTGCCTGACAAAGCCGGTCAAAAGGGCAGCAGCTGGGAGGGCAGGCAGGCGGCTGTTCAGATGGGATGATTTCCCCGGAGACACGCGGGATCTGCCTAGCCGTGAACCCATAAAAGCCATTTACCCATAAAAAAGGGACTGGGCGGAGTTTGCCTCCTTGCAGCCAAAAAATGGAGCTGGGAGAGGGAGGGCAGCAGACAGCTGGTGGGACTGGAGAAAGGCAGTTTCCTTTGCAGCTCTGGCTCTAGCCTGTAATTGCTGGGAGACAAAAAGGAGGCGATCAAAAAAGGAAAAACCTGCCTTGCCTTTTAGGTTAGAAGCTCTGTGTTCTAGCTGGGAAAGAGAGGCTGTTATTTGGGAATCTTCGCTATGGAAAAGTGGGCACTTTCTTCCCTGCCCTTGGGATGGGTATTTGTCCATGGAGTCTTGACTTGACAGCTGAAGCTCATCCTGTGTGACTTCAGATGGGGACCCAGGGTCATGCCCCCTTTGGTTACCTAGGCTCAGGTGATAGGGTCCTCCTCCTACCTAAAAGCCTCTGTCACCTGCCCTCTTTGATATCTGGAAAATCAGGTCTCCCTAGATCCCATGCCTCTGCCCTCCAGGCTTCCTCATCCCCTGAGGTGTGAGTGGGGGAGAAAAGAGTGAGGCAGACCTCTTTGGTAATTTCTGCTTTCCTGAAGACCCACACAACCCCACTCACTGGCCCCTTCCTCTTGCATTCCTGGGGTATTTATTAGACAGGCCTTGGCCTATCTCTTTAATCTATGCACACAGGCTAGAGCAGGATTTGCACTTCAAGCTTTGAACCTCACCCATCTCCTTGCTGCGGGATCGAAAGCCATGCGCCGGCGTCTCCTCCAGACCTCCTCTGGTGTTGTTCTATTTCTTGTGAGCATGGTGCTCCTTTCCACGAGGCGTTCCGGCATCCAGGAAGCGGTCGTCAACCAGAGACTTTCAGGAGGGATATCTGGCAGATGGGCATGGAGGGAGATGATGCTGGCAGGTGGGGCAGACTGGAGAAACAGGAGAGAGACTGAGCATGGAAAACAACTCAAGGGCCACGATGACGGTATGGCGCATTCTTCTGCTGGGAAAGGCCTCTTGCTGGAAGAGCTTTTCATCGCTGTCAAAACAACCCAGAAGTTCCACCAGTCCAGGATGGGATTGCTGCTGGAGACCTGGATCTCCCAGGTTAAAGGACAGGTTGGTATAAGGGGGGGGAAAGGGTTAAATGGACCGCTGACACCAGAATGCCTAAGGGAAGAACCTGTGTGTGATTCTCATATGCACTCATGCGCATGCATTGCCTAGAACCAAATGATGCCTTAAGCCAGGATTGGTCATTTGGAAGCCTCAGGGCTGGAAACATCCCCAGATGTGATTTGATTTAGCCCCAAGCCCTGGTGTTGCCTGCTTTTAATCAAAGCATAGTAAAAAAGAAAAATAAGAAAAGTGCCTGCTGTTTCACTTACAAAAAAGAGTATGTTTTTACAACGAAGCTGCCTTATACCAGATTCTAGTCTTTCCACCGTTCATTATGCTGATGGCCATCTGTCTCATTCATCATTTTATTTTACCCAAGAAAAGTAACATCAGTGTGTCTCTCGGAGAACTTCAAAGCAAGCCGAGGGAGCAAGCCACATAGATTTGGAGGAGACTGATAATGGGGGAGGGAGGGATGCAGAGCAGAGCATGGTGGTGTTTTTCTCAGGCTGGTTTGGATCAACCCAGGATTCCACCAAATTGGGTGGAGGTAGCCGCTGGTCACTCTGGGTTGGATAAGGTCCAGCTGAAGCAATCTGGGGCTGGCAAAAGAGGTGCAGGATCTGGTGGTAGCAAGAGGGGGGGGGAAGGAGATATATAGGGTTTTAAACCTTAATTAGACACTGTGCAAGGTGCTCAGATTGGTTCAGAGTCTGGTGCCGAGTTGAGTTGGTCTCAGGTTGGATTGGTGTCTCTTCAAAGTGCCCAACCAAGCCCTGAATTGGATCAGGGAGAGGCATGCACAGCCTAACTGTTCTAACTATGCTTTCTTTGTGTGGGAAAGGTTGTCCCTGGACTAGCTCCCCAATGCCTCTCAGGGCTTTTTAAGCTGCCTTAGAAACACTGGCCTTCCAAAACACTTGTTTATGAGCTTCTCCACATGTTAAAGGTAAATGGGCAAAACATATTTGGTGAGGCAGATTTCATACTGTTTTCACTCATGAGGAAGGTAGAATTGGTTGACTCTGAGGCAGACAAAGGATTGCATTCATGTAATGTGTGAAACAGGCCTAGGAATTCATACATTCGTTTATGTATGAGTATATACTGTGCTTTTTTTACTTAAAAAATGTTTAGGAGTACTCTCATTTTCCTACTCATATTGAAATACTGCTCCTCAATGACAAACTTAGATTCACAAAATGTTTAGATACCCCTGCATTCCCCCAGAAAAAAGCACTGAGTATATATCTCTCTCACACACATAAAAAAGGGTAAAGGACCCCTGACAGTTAAGTACAGTCTCGAACAACACTAGGGTTGAGGCGTTCATCTCGCTTTCCTGGCCAAGGGAGCCGACGTTTGTCCGCAGACAGTTTTTCTGGATCATGTGGCCAGCATGACTAAGCCGCTTCTGGAGAAACCAGAGCAGCGCACGGAAATGCCATTTACCTTCCCGCCAGAGCGGTAACTATTTATCTACTTGCTTTCGAACTGCTAGGTTGGCAGGAGCTGGGACCAAGCAACAGGAGCTCACCCTGTCACGGGGATTCGAACTGCAAACCTTCTGATCGGCAAGCCCTAGGCTCAGTGGTTTAGACCACAGCACCGCCCGCGTCCCTCTCTCACACATACACAAAGCAAAATGTTGAGGACCTTGCAAAATGTACACAGATAGTTTGCCACCACACCAGCACTGAATGCTCTTTCAGGGGTGGACAGTTCTGGTTGACATATCATTTAGAAATTCACATCTCCAATTGGTGATTTAAGGAACGAATGTGCCATATTCAGCCCTGCTATATTCCCAGCAAACGTGTTTTTTCTCCCCTCCCTCGTATTTTTTGTTGTGGTTGCTTCGTCCCCCTGGTTCCTTTTCTTTATGGCTGCCCCTCAGCTCTTTCATTCTTCCAGAGACAAGAGGCTCACAATAAAACCCAGGCTGGATTTGTGAAAAGGCCTCGCCACCGCCAGGCCCAGGGGAGGCCCACGTGCCTGAGCGACTGTCTGAATGACTTTGCCCATATTTCAGTACATAATGCAAGTACACTGTTTAACCAGCCTGCAGGCAGCTGGTGGGAAGATTGTTTAAGGCTTGTGTCTCTCTCTTTCAGTCCCCTTGGCTTCTTGAAAGCCCATTTTCCGCTTGAGAGGAGGTATTCTTTGCTGGACGCGATCCCCACTCTGCCCTTGGGATGGAAGAACATGCCACATGATGTTGTCGAGAGGGCCTGGGAGGGACTGCAGGGAAGAGGAGGAGGAGGAGAGTAGGGAAAACAGCAGAGAGCTTATAGGTCTTTTACACACGAACAGATGTTCTTTTCTGAATTCAACTTTCCTTTCACTACAAAGCTTCTGTTTAATCTGCTGTCAGATATCTTGCAAACATCACAGCAGGATTCTCGGGGGACAAACCTGAGCTATTCGATGGTCACCCCTTGGGCTCATGAGTTATTTAGGGATGCTGGATCAGACCAGGTTCTCCAGCCCCAGGCTGGTGACTAAAAGCTCAGTGTGAGCTGGCTCAGCACAATGAAACCTATATATTGAAAGCATCTGTTCTACAAAAATGACTCATACCTATATCAGATATTATTGGGGCTCCAGAGCCCTAGCAGAACCCCCTGGTGCTACAGTAGGCGCTTACACACTGCACCCCCCCCCCAAAGGAAATACACCCCCCTCTCCAAAATAGGTCAAAAGAGAACATACATTTGCAAAAACAAAACAAAAACCCACACAAGCAAATTTATATCCATAGATAAAAATCTAGAAGGACTATAAGTTAAATAAAGCAGGGTTTACTGCTATGGGTATGTGTATGCCTGTTCAGTTTGCTGTATAGGTTCTAAATGTTTTCCCCCTCACATATTTTTTATTGAATTTTAATAAGGACAAACAGGTGACAGAAAAAAAGAAACGAAGGGAAAAAATAAATACAGATAAGTTGTCACAACTGCCAATAAAGAAATACAGGAAACAGTCAGTGCAATAATAAAACGTACTGAAAGGAAAAAGATGCGTAGTTTATAATTGCAATGAGTTCTGCAGTTTAAATCAAAACAATTAGAAATTTTAATTCAAAAAAAATGATAAAATGTATTCCATCAAAACACCCGCATAGACCTGTGGTATCTGACACTCCTGTGCTTGTATATAAAATAAAATTAGATCAAATGGCAAAGCTGCGATCTTGAACACTTGGGAACCCTGGACGCATTTAGGTTATGCAATATTTTTTCCAAGAAGGGTGATTTGCCAAGTCTTGGAATAGCAATAGTCTAGATTACTGAGATCAAAAGTTCTGCAAAACTTGGCAGTTGTGGCTCTGGTTGCTGTCAAAGGATGCAAAATCAGTTTCTTGTTATTCAGGTCTTGATCCAAATCTGCGAACAGATTCAAAAGAGAAGACAAGGGGCGGGGTGAATTTTGTCCAGTTATCAATGGATTCTCAGAAAACACTTCCATCAAGAACTCTTTTACCTTGAGGCAGTACCATCACACATGTCAGTAGGTTCCAATACACTGGCACCCCATCTAGCATAAGGGAGGAAGACATCTATATGGGGCCTTGAACCAGAGCATTTTCCAGTCTTCTTCTATCTGCACTCCACAGGTACTCACTCCTACTCTCCCCTGTTGTGGTTCTTTCACTTTAAACTGGGCTTCAACTGGACCACCCTCTAAAAAGAGAGCTCCTTCAAATAGAGGACTATCCTCTGACAGCCTTTCAAACAGAGGACTGACATCAGTAAAGTAGGACACATGGCCGCACTAACAGAGGCTGGTGCCTGCCCTGCCCAAACGTCATGCTGATCTGGGGCACTGTGGAAAATTGAAAATGGCTGTCCACAACTACTGCCAGATGATCATGCATCTGAGGAAGTGCCCGAGAAGACACTTTGCTGAAATCCCTTTCATAACTGAAGCTGGCCACGATCTATCTATGTTGCATTTGTTTTAAAAGCAATTTCTCAATGGGTGAGGTAAAAAAGGTAAAGGTAAAGGTACCCCTGCCCGTTCGGGCCAATCTTGCCAGACTCTAGGGTTGTGCGCTCATCTCACTCTATAGGCCGGGAGCCAGCGCTGTCTGCAGACACTTCCGGGTCACGTGGCCAGCGTGACAAGCTGCATCTGGCGAGCCAGCGCAGCACACGGAACGCCGTTTACACTCAACACCAAAACACTTGCTGAGTTGGGGGTGGGGTGAATGCCATTCTACAAAGATGTTAGTGACCTGTTCCACTGAATGATCAACACCCTCAAAAAACCGCAGCATGCAGGGTCCTTTGGGAAACACCAGCTTCAGATCCATCTGAATTTTTTTCAGCACAGAACAAACAAGCATTCAAAGACCGGATTTCAAAAGATTATCAGCTAATCAATTAATCAGCAAAGGGGAGCGTGAGTCTCTCTCTCTCTCTCTCTCTCTCTCTGCAAAGAAGCTGGGTCAAATACTTACTTTCCATCATCATATAGCACTTTAAAAAATATCAGAACTTGTTACAACCTCTATTTTGCCGCATCTCTGTGAGATGGGGGCATTATTATTCCATTTGTACAGATAAAACACTTTCTGAGTGTTCAAAGCATTTCACATTCATTACTTCAGTAATAATCTCATATGACGCATAGCCACGGTGGAGAGAGTTATGTGGCTTGTCACTGGATGGCAGGTATGGAACTCAGCACATTTTAGGCACTGGAATAACCCTTCTCTCTTCTTTTTCCTCAGACACATGTCTTCACTGATAAAGAAGATGATGAGCTACGGGAAAAACTGGGTAATCCGGCCTTTAGTGTTGTGCAAGATCTGGAAACTGACTTCTGTAAACTGTGTGTCAGGAATGCTTGGGTAATAGCATCCCTACACGGCTGACCGTGGGAAAGGGTTATAGCTCAGCCACAGGGCACATGCCTTGCATGCAGAAGTCCCAGGTTCAGTCTTGCATCTCTGAATGAGGTCTGGGGAAAACATTTGGGGTGTGTGTTGTGGCTGCTCCTCCCATTATTTCTGGGTTGAATCGAATGATTTATTTCCTGGTAGTGTGCATATATGCGGTTGTGTGTGAGGCGATCGCGTGAAAGTGGGGGAGGGGACGCCTATACTGTAATAGATGGGATAACTCAGTCTTGACTCAGGGCTCATACATACATCTACTTGTCCCGGGCTGCCTAGACATGGGCCTGAGTGGTTCTGCCTTTGTCCCGCTGCTCCCTCCCGGAAAACTCACTCTTTAGTGCTAAATCGGAACAAACAGCAATGTATGGAAAACCCGATTGCTATTTGTTCTGATTCAGCCCTAAACTGCAGGTTTTCTCTGGGAAAAGTGACACGGCAAGAGGAAAACTGCTTGGACTCATGCATTCGAGGCACAGGAGAAGCGAAAATGTGGACAAGCCCTAAGACTGGGGAGACCCAGGTTCAAGTCCCTGCTCAGCCATAGAACTCACTAGGAGACCTGATGAGGGGCATTCAGTTTGACTGTCTGTTGGACTATGCTCAATCTTCTTCTTCTTCTTCTTCTTCTTCTTCTTCTTCTTCTTCTTCTTCTGTTTGTATACCACCCTTCATCCAAAGATCACAAGGCAGCTCAAACATAAAATAATAATTATTATATGCAAATCAATATAAGTGAGTCTATTCTGGATCTATTCTGAGTATGACTTAAGGCTGTCTGTTCCAAGTCTGGTGTACAGATAAAGAACCCTGAGAATGAAGAGCCATATCAACCATCAGACCTGGAGAACAGACTGAGCAGGCACTCAGGTAGCTGGACATAGTCTTTTCCACTTTGGTGAGATGTGCTGAGTTTCTATTTAAAGAATACTACTTATTTCTAAATTTGCATGTATACATATCTGCACATTTAATGCAAATTGGCACCTTTTCTACTCCCCCGATATGTTTCCTCTTTATTGGTGATGCAGAAATCTCCACCCAAGGCTTACTTCTGCGTAGACATGCGTAGACTTGCTCTGGCATCGCCAGTTCCAATCCAAATCCGCTTAATCGACAAGGTCCTCAAGGTCAAATACTATTATGCTTGGCCCTTCAGCTATCAAGTAATTAGTAATTTCATTTACCGCAGCTTGTGCAGTTCTCCAGAAACACTGAATTAATGGGCAGAGCCAAAAAATATGACATAAAATCTGCAGGTATTGAACTGCAACACCAGCTAACAATCTGTGTTTAGTAAATACAACAAACAGAGCAATCCAAACCCCCAATCTATCCACTGGAAGAAGTTTAGAGGAGTTGGAGTGGAGGTATCTCTCTATACCCTTGCCTTGCCTTGACTCTGCTGACCTCCACCAATGGCAGGGAAGCCCCAGCAGTGAGGAACAGCTCAGTGAACCACCCAAATAGCAAGTAAGTGGAAGCTACCATCAGTGGTATCTCTGCTACCAGTAGCATTTCAGGGGAAGGGCTGGACTGGGTCTATACAGGATCTGCTGGATCCTGAGCTGGTCCTACTGCTTTCATGTGTTGAAAGCATGCCGGATCTGGGCCTTCCCTTGTTTCTTTCTTATTAATAGCTTTTAAATACAAAAACCAGCATGGATCATACAGGTTTTGATACAAAGGAACTAAGGAAAACTGGGTAAGCACAGGGCTATTTACAGATGATATAGAAGCGTGTAGGTTGTATACGAAATCCATCTATAAGCAAGACAAAAATACCGTACGTAGATTGACCTAGACAGGAAGGAAAAATCATAGATAAGCAGGAAGTGAAGTTACACATAATTTCAAATAAAGTCCAAGTATTTTGGTACATAGTTTTTGAGGATCATGTGACATATAATTTTAAAACGGCCACAAACAGTTGCAAAATCTCCTAGATTGCCCTCGCCTCATTGTACTTTCAAATTTTATGTTATTTTTTCAGAAACTGCAATAAAGTTTTTTATATATATATATATTGCATGTCTAAGTTTAGATTCTTTGCATCCTTCGAGTTCTGAGATATGGTGAAACTCGCAGCCCACCAACATAAAAATGATCAAGTCCTTTGGATGAAGTTTCTTAGCCCAATCAGTAAAAACCAGACAATTAATATCAGCATGTGTTGTCAGGCTCATTGCACATTAACACTGCTATCCAATTTCCCCCCACAACTGGGCAATACTATTTACCGATTACGGAAGATCTGGACCTTTTTGCTGCACCAGCCTGAGAGCTGGTGGAGCAAAGAGCCATTTTTCTGCCCCACTTCCCCCGCCCAGCTGTTGTGAGTAGTGGGGCAGTGGATGTTGTGGTGGCTGTGCTGCCCCCATGAAGCTCTGTCTCTATTGGCCAGGGCTTTGGATTACTCTGTGTGATGTTAACTAGGTGTACCACTGCTATTGGGTGGGATTCACGGAATGAGTCCTGTCATCAGAAGCCACTTGCAAGGATTTCCACTTGAGCAACAAGGTCCCACCCTCCTCCCATGCCCCAGGCCCCCCAAATTGGGGTCAAGAGAACCCCAAGAAGAGCACACAGGACGAGGGGAAGGAAGATCATTCCGTCTGGCAAGCTGAAATAAAATCAGAAGACAGCGACCTTGAATTCCCCCTGAAGAGTTATTTTTTTTAAGGTTGATATTCAATGCTAGTCCTACTCAGAGTATACTCACTGAAGTTAATGGACATGAGTAATGTAGGTTCATTAATTGCACTTGGTCTCCTCTGAATAGGGCTTAGCTGAATACCACTCATAGATTTTAAACTGTCAGATCACAATATTGGAAGCACAGCGTTTATTATTATTTTTGTACCATAAATCCATTGTAGTTGCTCTTTTGTTGCCGCCATTTTCTCTCCAGATGAGGCTTCTGTTAAGGAGGTCCTAACTCATTCCCCCAGCTCTCAGAACCTCAATATCATGTTGCTGAGAAAATGAGATCCTTTCCCTGACTAACGCTATCATTGCTAATGTGATTACTATGCAGAAGGTAATTGGCAACTCTTGTCAGCACCCCCTTGGGTAGTGCCTGGGAGGAGAATAATGACCATCAACGAACCAATGCCATTATCTGACTTTGCTTGATGAGCACTCCCTCGCCTGGTTTTGCTTATCAATAATTTGACTAGGTGTTCAACAATGAAATGGGGTTGGGTTTTTTTTTTACGAAGGTAATACAACTTTGAACTACTGATTCTACTTCGCTCTGTGCTTTCTAGCTAGTGAAACAGGAAGGAAGGAAGGAAGGAAGGAAGGAAGGAAGGAAGTCCCTTCACTTTACAATTCCAGCTCAGGCATGCTCAGCCAGTGCCTGCAAGCTGCTGTACAGAGCTGCCTTTTCAGCTCCTACTTAGGGGTGCAATTGGCAGGACATCTGATAAACTACAGTACTGGGGAAAGCCGTTGCCCAAATGCATTGTGGTTCTGAGATCTTGGGCAAGGGTAAACAAGCTTCACTGGAAGTACTACAAATAGTTTTGTTTTTAAATCTAGAACTATCCACAGTACTCCTGCAGAGACCAGAAGAGACCTGTATCTTCTACAAAATCAAGAGGTGGTAAAGGGAGTGATTCAGTCTTGGTGCACAACTAGGGGATTACGGACAGATCTGTCAGGACAGAACATGGCAATATTCAACACCTGTAGAGCAGGGTGGGGGATCTGTGGCCTTCCAGAAGTTGGTAGATTACAAATCTCATCAGCTCTGACCTTTGTTGGCTGAAGCCGATGGGAACTGGAGTTCAACAGTATCCGGAAGGCCACAGTTTCTGCACCCCTGCTTCATTTATTTATTCTTATTTATTTCAATAATTTATATACTGCTTTATGCAGTAGTTTTGACATGTTGTACGATGAAGACACAAAGGAGATACAAAGGATGAAATCAGTAAAATTAACCACACAATCAGAAAAGTTTACTTAAAATGCCTGCTGGGTAAAAAAGAAAAGACTTCACCACGCAGCGTAAGTTTAGTAGTGAGGCAGGCCTGCTTGATCTCAATCAGGAGGGAAGTCCACAGAGTTGGGCCCATGATACTCATGGCATGGTTGCTGGTCATTGCGAGCTGTGCGACTGACTGGTGGATGACCACTAACAGCAACTCTGCTCATGACCTCCATGATCAGGCAGGGACATTAGGAATCATGCAGTCCAATCACCCTGGATCCAAGTTCTTAAGGGCCTTGCGAATTAAGAACCTTGAAATTGGACTCGTACCATATGGGCAGCCAGTGCACGCTTTTAATCGCCAGAGTTATTTGCTGGTGGTAGTCTGTCCTCTCACAAGTAGTCTAGCTCCAGCATTTTGCACTGGTTGGAAATTCCAGCCCAGCCCCAAGTGTAGCCCCACAAAGGGCGTACTGCAGTAATAAAGTCTTCACATTCCCAATGCTTGAATTAGGATCCCTGTCCAAGAATGGCTATAGTTTCTGTACTAATCATAGTTGATGAAAGACACTGCTAGTCAGGCTCTGAGCTTCCAGTGACAAAGATGCATCCAGTAGACTCCCAAACTATGAATCTTTTATTTCAAAGTCCAACCCCACATATAGCAGGTAACTGGGCAATGTCTGTCTTACCCTGTATCTCAACTTATGGGGTGTCTAATTCAAGATATACCAGAATTCTTACTTCTCATTGAGCATGGTTGTATCTAGTTTTATTATTTGGTGCAGCAGCTAAGAAAATTTGAGCAAATATCTTGAAGGAAATACCAGTGAATTTGAAAAGGTGATTCACTTGAGTAAGCTAAGTCAAGCGTAATCACTAAGAGTCTTTATTAAGGATTTATTTTAGCAATGGCTTTTACATTAAATGAGAATTGGGAAGCTCAATTGGTCATGGTTTCTTGCCTTCCAGACATTTTACTTTTTTAAAAAAGCTACCATTTGCAATGGCCTGTGGCTTCAAGCAATAAACACTGACTGAGTTTCTGACTGCTTCTCACTAAAATGGTGACTCTTTGGAGCCAGCAGACTTAAGACAGTTATTGCAGCAAGCCTTCCTCTGTTCACTGTGTACTCATGCTTATTTAAAAAACCATGGTGAGCTTTCCTCTCATCTAGGCTATTCCCACCCCACTCTCTAAATCATGGGTTGCTAACATGGCTAGCACCATGGGAGCACATTTGCCCACAGAAGCCTTCCCTGGCCGCCCCAGGATCTTGCCCCCGAGCCCCTCTCTGCTGAAATGAGGTTTGAAAGAAGTCTTTTGTTGCGCACACACATGTGTGCATTGCTGTAGTGCATGTGCAGCTTCAGGGCATGTTTGGTGCAACAGTTTCTCTCATTTGCAAATGTGCCCAAAGGCCTGAAAATGTAGGGGAGCCCAGCTGGATTATCACAATGTGCCCTAAATGGGGCTGCCCTCGAAGATGACTCAGAAACTTCAGCTAGTCCAAAATGGAGCAGCCAGATTACTGGCTGGGGTTCCCTTTAGAATTCCTATACCCCTTGTTTTAAAACAGCTTCATTGGTTGCCAGTTCATTCTGGGGGTGCAACTCAAGGTGCTCATGTAAGTATTTAAAGCCCCAAGACCCTACATATCTGAAATAACACCTCCTTCTCTACAAACACTCTTAGGTGTTAAGAGACTGGAAGAGGCAGCCAACTTGAAAGTACTCTGGGGGTGGGGTGGGGGAGAAAGGACATTCTCTGTGGCAGCCCCTAAGTTGTGGAACTTCCTCCCCACAGAGGTGTCTCTGGTAGCTTCACTATACAGTTTTCAATGAATGTTGAACATGCACCTCTTTATGCTGGCCTTTGATGCTTGAGATGTATACTTTTAGGACCCACCCTATTCTTGTGTCTGTAGTTTCTTTTAAACTGTTTTTAACGTTTCATTTTAAATTGTTGTGATGTGCCCTGGGACCTTAGGGTGAAACGTGGGTTAATGAAAATAATATACAAACTGGCTTATTCTATTTATATCATTCTCACCACTGCACAATGACCCTGTGAGGTAGATAGCTGGGAGAAAGTGACGGGCTGAATGTCACTCGAGGAGCTTTCATGGTTGAGTGGGAATTTGAACCTAGGTCTCCTTCAGTTCTGGTCACTATGCTGAACTGCTGCAGAGCATTGCTGTGGTACGGAAGACTTGGAGATGTACTGCACAAAGATGCCCTTTGCACTGGGGAAAGGTCTCCCATCTTTGTCTTGTTGAGGGTATAAGCTTGTCTGTGTTTGAAGTTGCTTTAAATAAATCAAAATAGGTCCAGGAACCCATCCAGAAAGCGTTTCTCCTTTTCCCATTAGGTGATCACGTGATCATCACAAACTGCTCTGCAGAGTACAGTCATCCAGCACTTTCTTGCAAAATGGCGGCGGAGTTTGATGCCTTTTTGGTTAGCGGCCTAAGGTGAGCAAATGGACTTGAGTTGGGAGATGTGACATGGGATGGAGTCCATTTCTGTCCAAGTTTAGTGAGATTATTTATTGACATATAAATGTTGTCAATAAAAGTAAACACTTGTTCTCCATAGTTGGCTTTTTGTGGTCTAGTTATCCAAAGCTCCATTCAAACTGTAGTTTGCCTCTGCAAAATTGTCCTAGGAGGGAGCCACTAATTGGAGCCATCTGAGATCACTCAGGAAATGCAAACGGCATTTAGCATAGGTAGCATAAGGAGTCAGCTCCCTCTGATCAACATGGACTACAGAGCAATTGTCTGCTTGCTCCAGGTGGTGAATGCCAAGGTTAGTAAATTAAACTGCGTACGGCAATGACTCAGTGACAGAAGTGCAGTTATACCAACCATGAATCAAGTGGCGCCTAGATTTAACTGGTGCGATAGATGCCAAGAAACTGTTCAACAGCTAACTATGACAGGGCAGTCTGGTCCACTAGGGCAAATGGGACACAACCCAAGCAACTCAGTCTGCGCTCAGCCAACCACCAACTGCTTGTTTTCTTTCTTACAATTTGTGTGAGTGTGTGCTTGCACGCCTGTGCCTCTTATTGGCTGTGGCTCCACTCACTGTTGTTCTCCCTGCCTTCTACCCTACCAGTCCCAATGGGCAGCAACCACCATTGTTATGGAATCAAGTTGAAATTATATTCTCCTCTTGAATCTACCGGCTGTGCATTTCTCCTCCTTCTCCAGCTGGTTTTGCCACCTTGATGACGACAACTACCTGAACCCACAAGCTCTGCTCAAGCTCTTGTCTTCCTATTCTCCGGACCAAGATGTGTATATTGGGAAGCCCAGCTTGAACAGGCCAATTCGTGCCTCAGAAGCTTCGCCTAACAATCAGACAGTAAGTCCAACCCCTTTATTTCAGGAGTAAACAGCAGGTTGGCTGGGAATTCTAAGGGCAGCTAGGTGAGCTTCTGCACCCCAAACAATAACAACATCTGGTTTATCACAGTTACAACTGCTTTGAGGAGAGAGAAGAATGTATACCAGGCTGATCTTAGGAGCAAATGTTGGGTTCCTATCATAAATTTCAACAAAACATTGAAACTCCTCTGCATTCCACCCTTTGCCTATAAGGGAAGAAACTGCATAGCTCAGTGGTAGAGCATGTATGCTGAATACCCAACATCTCCATTTTTCCTTCTTTCAGAAGTCAGTGTATTTTTGGTTTGCCACTGGAGGTGCTGGATTCTGCATCAGCAGGAAGCTGGCCCGAAAGATGGCTCCCTGGGCAAGGTGAGCAGTGACCACTAAAAGATCTTGTATGAATGTCTCTCATTTCACATCTTCCTGCAATGGCTGGAGTGGGGAACCTGTGGCCTTTCAGATGTTGTTGAACTCCAGCTCCCATCAGCTCCAGCCAGAATGGCCAGTGGTCAGGGACAATACAGATTTGCGTAAAGTTTGCATCTGCTGATTTATATGTATGGAAGCACATTGAGCCAACTGTCTGAGGGAAAGCTGCTCTGCAAGTGAAGTTTTAACAATTAACCCCCTGAGCCATCCCTTAACAATGCTCCTGGATGGGAGGTTAATAGATGTAAATGAAGATGAACATTTGCTGAAGTGTGCGCCTGCACTCACTGTATCTTTCTTTCTTTCTTTTTTTCAAATGATATTTATTGAAAAATTTTTTAGAATTACAAAAGAAAACAAAGTAGAAAAAGAGAAAGAAAAAACAAAGAAAAAACAAACCACATCAAACAATACAAACTAGAATCATAGAATCATAGAGTTGGAAGAGACCACAAGGGCCATCGAGTCCAACCCCCTGCCAAGCAGGAAACACCATCAGAGCACTCCTGACATATGGTTGTCAAGCCTCTGCTTAAAGACCTCCAAAGAAGGAGACTCTACCACACTCCTTGGCAGCAAATTCCACTGTCGAACAGCTCTTACTTCCAGGAAGTTCTTCCTAATGTTTAGGTGGAATCTTCTTTCTTGTAGTTTGGATCCATTGCTCCGTGTCCACTTCTCTGGAGCAGCAGAAAACAACCTTTCTCCCTCCTCTATGTGACATCCTTTTATATATTTGAACATGGCTATCATATCACCCCTTAACCTCCTCTTCTCCAGGCTAAACATGCCCAGCTCCCTTAGCCGTTCCTCATAAGGCATCGTTTCCAGGCCTTTGACCATTTTGGTTGCCCTCCTCTGGACACGTTCCAGTTTGTCAGTGTCCTTCTTGAACTGTGGTGCCCAGAACTGGACACAGTACTCCAGGTGAGGTCTGACCAGAGCAGAATACAGTGGCACTATTACTTCCCTTGATCTAGATGCTATACTCCTATTGATGCAGCCCAGAATTGCATTGGCTTTTTAGCTGCCGCGTCACACTGTTGGCTCATGTCAAGTTTGTGGTCAACCAAGACTCCTAGATCCTTTTCACATGTACTGCTCTCAAGCCAGGTGTCACCCATCTTGTATTTGTGCGTCTCATTTTTTTGCCCAAGTACAATACTTTACATTTCTCCCTGTTAAAATTCATCTTGTTTGTTTTTGCCCAGTTCTCTAATCTGTCAAGGTCGTTTTGAAGTGTGATCCTGTCCTCTGGGGCCACCCCTCCCAGTTTGGTGTCATCTACAAATTTGATCAGGATGCCCTTGAGTCCATCATCCAAGTCGTTGATAAAGATGTTGAATAAGACCGGGCTCAAGACAGAACCCTGTGGCACCCCACTAGTCACTCTTCTCCAAGATGAAGAGGAACCATTGATGAGCACCCTTTGGGTTCAGTCAGTCAGCCAGTTACAAATCCACTGAGTGGTAGCATAGTCAAGACAGCATTTTACCAGCTTCTTTACAAGAATATCATGGGGCACCTTGTCAAATGCCTTGCTGAAATCAAGGTAGGCTACATCCACTGTGTTCCCTTCATCTACCAGGTTTGTAATTCTGTCAAAAAACGAGATCAGGTTAGTCTGACATGACTTATTTTTCAGAAATCCATGCTGACTATTGGTGATCACAGCATTCCTTTCTAGGTGCTCACAGACTGTTTGCTTAATGATCTGCTCCAGAATCTTCCCTGGTATTGATGTCAGACTGACTGGGCGGTAATTATTTGGGTCCTCTCTTTTCCCCTTTTTGAAAATAGGGACAACATTTGCCCTCCTCCAGTCTGCCGGGACTTTGCCTGTTCTCCAGGAATTCTCAAAGATGACTGCCAGTGGTTCTGAGATCACATCTGCCAGTTCTTTTAATACTCTTGGATGCAGTTCATCTGGCCCTGGAGACTTGAATACATCTAAACTAGCCAAGTATTCTTGTACTATCTCCTTAGTTATTCTGGGCTGTGTTTCCTTTGCTGAATCATTTGCTTCAAATTCTTCAGGTCGGGCATTGTTTTCTTTATCGGAGAAGACTGAGGCAAAGAAGGCATTGAGGAGTTCAGCCCTTTCTGTGTCCCCTGTTTGCATTTCACCATCTTCTCCTCTGAGTGACCCCACTGTTTCTTTGTTCTTCCTTTTGCTACGAACATACCCATAAAAGCCTTTTTTGTTGCTTTTAACCTCTCTAGCAAGCCTAAGTTCATTCTGTGCTTTAGCTTTTCTGACTTTGTGCCTACACGTGCTGGCTATTTGTTTGAATTCCTCTTTGGTGGTTTCCCCCCTTTTCCATTTTTTGTACACATCCTTTTTTTAATCTTAACTCAGTTAAAAGTTCTTTAGATAGCCACCCTGGCTTCTTTAGCCACCTTCCATGTTTCCGTCTCATTGGTATTGCCTGACGTTGTGCTTTTACTATCTCCCTCTTAACAAACTCCCAGCCATCATGAACTCCCTTTCCTTTTAGTATTACTGTCCATGGGATCTCACCCAGCACTTCCCTAAGTTTTATGAAGTCGGCTTTCTTAAAGTCAAGAAATTGAGTCCTAGTATGCTTGGCTGCTCCTTTCCTCTGTATAGTAAACTTCAGAAGAGCATGATCACTCGTGCCTAATGATCCTTCCACTTCTACCCCACTAACCAGGTCATCAACATTGGTTAGGACCAGATCTAAAAGGGCTGTTCCTCTTGTTGCTTCTCCCACTTTCTGGACAATGAAGTTGTCTGCAAGGCCAGTGAGGAATCTGTTTGACCTTATGCTCTTGGCTGAGTTTGACATCCAACAAATATCCGGGTAATTGAAGTCCCCCATTACTACTATCTCCCTTCCTTTTGCATGCTTGGCCATCTGTTCCAGGAAGGCATCATCTATGTCCTCCGTTTGGCTTGGGGATCTATAGTAAACTCCCACAATGAGGTCACTGTTATTCTTCTCTCCTTAATTTTGACCCAAATGCTCTCACTTTGGCTTTGAGGTTCTAAATCTTGGATCTCTTCACAGGTATACACATCCCTGACATATAACGCCACTCCTCCTCCTTTCTTGTCTGGTCTGTTTCTCTGAAATAGATTGTATCCCCCATTATTACATTCCAATCGTGGGACTTATCCCACCAGGTTTCAGTGATGCCTATTATGTCATATTTAGTTTGCTGTACCAAGAGCTCAAGCTCATCTTGTTTATTTCCCATGCTTTGCGCATTAGTGTACAGACATTGAAGTCCATTAATCATTCCCCCGTGTCTCTTATTTAAAGATTTTTTCCTCCCACCACTAGGTCTGCATGCTGTTTGCTCCATTTGGTCTATGACATTTGGATGATCATCTTCATCAATTGATAGACTCCTACCCTCAGGAGCACTGTCTCCCTCCCCCACATTAGTCAGTTTAAAGCCCTCCTGATGAAGTTTCTGAGATTTTTGGCAAAACATTTCTCCCAACCGTTGTGAGGTGCAGCCCATCGCTTGCCAGAAGTCCATCTTCAAGAAACTGCAGTCCGTGATCTAAGAATCCAAACCGTTCCTGTTTACACCATTTCCGAAGCCAGCTGTTCACTTCCACTATTTTTCCCTCTCTCCCTGGGTCACGTCGTTCAACTGGGAGGACAGATGAGATCACAATTTGTGCATTTAATTGCTTCAATTTCCTGCCCAGAGCCTCGTAGTCTCTTTTGATCTTCTGGAGGCTATTGCTTGCAGTGTCATTGGTTCCCACATGAACCAAGAGGAAGGGGTATTTGTCAGTGGGTTTTATAATTCCTTGCAGTCGTTCAGTTACATCTTGGAGCTTAGCCCCGGGGAGACAGCACACTTCCCGAGACATCTTGTCAGGCCCACAGATCACTGCTTCTGTTCCCCTCAGTAGGGATCCCCTATCACCACTACACGCCTCCTCTTAGGTTTGGTCGGGGTTCTTCTGTGAGCTGTCCGTTCCAAGGTCGCCTGCACATTCTCTGAGGACTGACTTTGCTGCTCGTCTTCATATACCTGATCGACTGTAATGAGGGAGAGATCCTCAAATGGAGTCTGCTCTTCGTCTTCCATGCTAGGGGAGAGGACCTCAAAGCGATTGTGTATTTCTAAACAATCAGAGCGAACCCTGGGCCTCCTACTTCTTTGAGTCACGTTTCTCCATATATCTGGCTCCTGTGTTGGTGAACTAGCCTCCTTCTCAGGGAGTCCCCTGTCTCCTCCTTGGTGGAGACGGTGTGCTCTGTTGCTTCCAAGAAGAGCTCCAGCTCTCTAATTCTTTGGAGCGTAGCTACACGTTCCTCCAGTTGCTGGACTTTGTCTTTTAAGAGGGCAATCAACATGCAATTGCTGCAGGTAAAGCTGCCTGCAACCTTTGGCAAGATGGCAAACATTGCGCAGGAACCACAGGCGACTGCAGCTGTTCCCTCCCCCTCCATCTTGAGAACGTGTCGTTGGGGGTGGCTACAGCAGTCCTCCATCATAAAAAGCGTGAAGACAGGACAAATAACTCCCCCCCCAAAAAACCTAGGTCTCCCCCAACAAACGTTTGAGACTAGCTCCCCTAAATCTAAAAGATGGATCAAACTGCCGGTGCCCTGCAAGCTCTGATAAGCTCCTCCCACAGCTAATCACCTGCCTCAACAGAAACCCTGCCCCCTCTGACCTTTGCACAGGGAGAGTAGCTAATCAGCCACAAAGAAACACACACAAGAAAACCCTTTTTGCTCCTTCTTCAACTGCTCCTTCTTCAAATTAATAAAAATCAAAATAAAAAAATATACCACAAACATTTAAAAACAGATCCGATATTCTCAAATCCTTAACTGTCATTACCTTCTTTCTTTGACCTCCTCCTCCCTTTTTTTGTATCGTAGTTATTACTTGTCGCAGCAAATCCTTTCCATATTTCATAATATTCTGTCATTACATTACCTTAATCTATTTTAATCTTATCTTACTATAATAAAACCTTAAAACTTAAAACTTAAATCTTATTTTACCAATTTCTCATAACCATAATATTCTTACATAATTCTTTAAATATTTTTGCTAAAGCCAAATAATTTCGTTCCAACATTTTTCTAACATTCATCAATTTTATAAAAGAATCCTAATAAAAAAAATAAAAACAATCCAATCTTCATCCAGCGTCTCTTCCTCCTGGTCCCGGGTTTTGTCAGTCCTCTCTATCCCATCAGTCTAGCGCATTAACCTGGTAATCTTATATCCGAGGCCCTTAAGTCCCTTCCATGTCCCTTCCGCGGCTCTTCTTCATATTTATAGCTGTATTTTCCTTTGTCTCCTGCTCCTTTCACTCGTGGGAACTCCAGCTTAACAATATTTTTGACCCTTCTCGACAAATCAGCCCCTTTTCCATAGTCCACACTAAACTCCATGTGGTATTTAAGAACATGTTTCAAAGTCCCTCCAAATTTAAGAGCCCGCACAACCCCAAACATCTCACGGCCCATTACCAGACTTGAAAAGTCCAAACATCCCTGCGTAGGGGGGTCTATCCAACCCCCCATTTCCAAACCAAGCCAAACTTTATCTTTCCAAATCTGGCTTTTTCCAAGTTCATTTGTCAAATCCAAGAACTCATGTTCCTGCTGGGCCGCAGCTCCCTCCATCTCTGGCGCCCGAGGTTCAGCAACATCCTCTTCCCTCATCTGTTCTGTCAGGGCACACTCCTGATTTGATTCCTGGGTGGGCTCTATATAATTTCCCACTGCCTGTTCAAAATTTCTGATCACATCAGTCATCAAATCCGTCTTCTCATGTAGCTGTTCCAGTAGGGCACTTGTTTTACAGAGAGCACACAGCAGAGCTTCTGAATACATTGTCCTGCAAGGTCAGAAGTCTATTCCCACGATCGTAATCTGTAGCAGCTGCAAGCTCCCCGATTCAGAATTGGTTACAGTTTCACAGGCTCCCTCTAGGGGAAAAACTTCTATTTGTTCTTTTCTTTTAAAGGCAGATCTAGCAACAAAGTTTCCTTTTTCGGATATTTTGTCAATATTTGTTCCTTTAAAATGTGAAAGGGAGCAATGGAATCACTATGTTTCTCTTCTTTTAGCTATCTGTCAAAAACGTTTGTCTCTGGTCAATGAGCTTCAAAAGACGTCAGTCCTGACACCCTGCTCCAGGATCAAGACGGTGGAAAGTTACTTTGCTTTACACTCACTTCTGCAGGTTTAAACAGTCCCCCCAAAAAATCCCCCCTCTTCTCCTGCTTCCGAAGGGGGTTCAACAATTTTAAATGGTGAAAGTTAATCCTTTACAAGCGATTTTCTGAACTCTAGTTTGCCATGTCTTTGCTTTAATCTATCTACAAAGAAACGGAAGGCTGACTTCCTGTTTAGACCTTCCCGTTTCAGTACCAAATTGAAATAAACTTTTAAGTCCAATTTTCCTTTCTACTCGCAATTCCTTATTTAGAGTCCAATTGTCCGAAATTTAAGTACTCACGGTGATTGTTTTAAAAGCCAAATTTGCATGGGCACGCTGTAGGGATCAGACAGTCCTTAAGGTACTTTGGACCCAAATTGCTCAGGGCCTTGTGAATTAACACAAGAATCTTGAACCTGGCGCTGTGGCAAATCAGCAACCAGTGCAGGTCTCTCGGTAGTAGAGTAACAGGCTGTTGGTAGTCTGTTCCTGTGAGCAGGTTGGCTGCTGCCTTCTGTACTCGTTGCTGCTGCCAGACCAGATACAAGGGCAGCCCCACATAAAGCGTCTCACAGTAATCACATATTGAGGCTACCAATGGATGGGTGACTGTGATCAGGCTGTCGTGGTCCAGGACTAGTCGCAAGTGGCGTACCAGCCAGAACTTACAAAAGCACTCCTGGACTCAGAGGTCACTTGGGCCTCTAGGGATAGTGGTGGATCAATGAGTACCCCCCAGACTAAACATTGGATGAACTTTCTGGAAGGAAGAGCTGTTAGGCAGTGGAATGGTCTTCCTCAGGAGACCGTGGACTCTCCTTCCTTGGAGGTTTTTAAGCAGAGGTTGGAAGGCCATCTGTTATGGATGCTTCAGCTGAGATTCCTGCATTGCAGGGGGTTGAACCTTGGGGTCCTTTCCAGCTCTATGATTCTATGATTCTATGACTGTTACAACAGGAATGACATGTTTTGGGCCTTTGGCAATATCTTAGAACTCTCCAGTGCTTAAAAAAAAAAAAGGAAACTGATTTGAAAACAGGTGCAGACTTTCTAAATGGCAAATGAATATGCATGATGTTGGTCAGCCAAAGGTGATGGCAACCTTTGTTAGAAAACCATATGTTTAGGGAAGAGGTCATTTGTTATAGAGCAGGGATGGGGTACATGTGGACCTATAAGTTGTTGTTGCTGGACTCCAGCTTCCATTAACCCCAGCCGGCATGGCCAGTGGTCAAGTATGATGGGAGTTAAATCCCAATGTGATTTGGAGAGCCAAGGGTCTCAGTCCCTGATGTAGAGTGATATTAATGCACATGGGTCAATCTCCACTGTAATTTTAAAGTTGTGCTATTAGTAGTATTAGCATTACTACTTTTTTATCTCAAAGCACAATGTTTACATAAGATGAAGAAAAATTGACAAAATATATATGAGACGAAAGCAGGGAATATACCAAGGAGAAATAAAAACAGCTGTTTCAACAACAAAAAAGTTACAAAAACAAAACATATGGTTGAACATTATCATTAAATTTTTCATTCCAGTAATGAATAAACAATGCCCAGTGTTCTACAAACTTGTTATCTAACTGGCATCTTTCCCAAACCCTTATATAATATGTCAGTTCAGTCATTTTGGCTATTTGCCCAATCTTTTCCTCACAGTCGTTAAACTTGGAAGCGGTTGCACTTTTCTTCTTAGCTGCCAAATTAATCTTGATTGTGCACAAAAGGTTAATAATAAATTCAAGATCACGTGTCCCAACCTTTCTAGGTATATCACAAAAGATAGAATCGTTTGTGAATCAAATGGTAATTGGTAATCGATAACATCTTTTACTATCCTAAATTATTGCTTGTCTGCCAATATATTTGTATTTTGGGGCAACATGACCAATTATGAATAAAATCAGCTGGAGCGGAATCATCCCACTAGAAATCTAAAACACACAGATACACATACACACCCTAAAGTAGCTCAAAAAGGATTTGATTGCACTGATCCTTAATTTTATATACATTTTCTCTCAAGTTCACACAGAATAATTTTGAAGAAACATTGTCCAAAATCTAATTCCATGCATTTTCTATGAATGTTTGAATCTTTCCCCTATTTTCTTTTTTTTAAATGATATTTATTGAGAATTTTTAAATTACAAAGAAAAAAAAGGAAAAAAACAAGAGAAAGAGAAAAAGAAAGAAAAAAGTAGATAAAAGTAACAATTAAACAATACAAATCCATAAAAACCAAAATCAAACAGAAAAAACAGAACACACAATACATCAAAATCAAAAAGCAAAAATAAACAAAAAATTTAAAAACAAATCCAATATTCCCAAATCCTTAACTTTCATTACCGGTAACTTATTTCATCGACCTCCTCACACCTCCCTTTTTTGTATTCTAGTTGTTAATTATCTCAGCAAATCCTTTCCATCTTTCACTATATTCTGTCATTAAATTACCTTAATCTATTTTAACCTTACCTTACCATAAAAAATCCTAAAACTTAAAACTTAAATCTTATTTATACCAATTCAATTGGGCCCAATTCAAAGTGCTGGTTTTGATCTATAAAGCCTTAAACAGCTCTGGACCACAATACTTCAAGGACCAACTCTCCTTTCCTCTTCCCATATGAACCAACCCAGACCCCATAATCAACATTTGAACCCTTCTCCGTTTGCCTCCTCCACGTGAGGAGCAACACGAGAATGGGCCTTTTCTGCAGTGGCTCCCTATTTGTGGAATGCTCTCCCCAGGGAGGCTTGCCTGGTGCCTTCATTACATTTCTCTAGGTGTCAAGCGAAAACATTCCTCTTCTTCCAGGCCTTTGGCTAATTATACAATCTATAGCCTTTTAAACTGTATCTGTGAGGGTACTGTTTTTGTTACTTACTATGGTATGTATTTTTGCTTTCTATATGGTAAACCACCTTTTGATCCTTGGATGTTGGGCAGTATAGAAATATACATCATCAACATCATCATCATATATGACCAAATACTTGTTTTTAGTCTCAGTAGGAGATATTTACGTTTCCCACTGCCGAGCAAACTAAGAGTCTTGCACACCCTATGCCTGATATCGACACTAGAAGACAATGTAAGAGGGTCAAGGCCCTTTCGTGTTGCCCTTTGCTATGGCTCACTGGCATGCATGCTAAAGAGGAAGTCCTTCAGGAAGTCCTCCACACTAAAGGAAAAATAGAAGATAACGATGTCCAGGTCAGGCAGTCAGGGCTTCTCTCGCCATGTACTTCCTCCCACAAATTGATTTGATGGTTTATCCCTCCTTCAAACTGGTTTGATGGCTTGCCCCTCTAAAATGCTGTGTGCTTAACAAATACCATATCTGAAAATCCTGGGGTGAGGAAAGCCAAAAGATCTTACACTAGATGTTCTTTTTATGGCAGTGCATTTCCATTATACACAATTCTTCCTAATTAAATTATACCACTTCAACAATTTAAAATTTCCTAACAGTCCTAAATCAGGGAGGACCTTATAAATATTGAACAGATGCTAATGGTGAGACATTTGACTCAGTTTAGGTTTATAAATCTTCCATGTCTCCCATACAACTAATATGTACTAAAGGACAGTGTATTTTCTTTAAAATCTATTCTGTCTTATGGCATAATATAATAAATAGTTCAGGGGAAGGGAATTTTCACATCCTAGTGTCCCAATTCTGTGCTTTTATCAGTACCAAACATTCCCTTGCTGCTGCTAAGGGTGATGAAAAGTAGCAAAGAAAAAGATTTGATACAGCTAATTGCCTGCTCCCAACTCTCCTGTATGTGGCAAAGACGCATGCCAGTTTCATTCTCATTTTTTGCCTCTAGCCCGAATGAACTTAGTAATATATTGTTGCCAGGTCTTTACAGTTATCAGTATAGATAGGAAGAACCATAAATAATGGTTTGACAAAATTATTATCTTTACTGTACAGATTGTTCCAAACCATTAAATCTTTAAATTAGCCCGTAACAGAAACTTCTGCATTTCCTTAATCACGTTATCCTCAAACAACCTATTCAAGCAATCGGAAGACTATATTCCAGGTATTTAATGACATAGGTTTTCCAGGAAATTTCAGAAAGGAGGTGTGCTTCAACTTTCATTTGTTTCTCTGTGTTTAATACCAGAATTTTGGATTAAAAACCCCTGATCTTATAACAAGATACTTCATTGAAAGAAGTAGCAGACAAAGTTATTGTAATGAATTTTCATTCCTCTAGTAAAGTCCGTCCAGTCCAGTCCATAGGATTTATTAATTTTAGCATTTTTCATCACTTTCCCCCTAGTAAATAATGACTTCTGGTTCTATTGCATTTTCAGGAATGAAATACTTTACTTAAAATATCATATATATTGTCTAGAAGACTATGAGCACAAGTCTAACCAAGCCTATTAAGAAGTAAGTCTTATTGAAACAAATGGGGCTTTCTCCCGGCTAAATTGGGTTGGGATTGCAGCCTCAACAAACGCTTCAGATATGTTGCACATACAGCCTCTCCATGTTTGCATGACGAGGAGTCATTTCCTTTGCTACTTTTATTGCCAGGATTTTTGCCAGCCTTTCTCAAATTCTGTACAGCCAATCTTCCAATGATTGAGGACCCCATAACATAGAAAGACCCTATGCACATACTATAGGCTCTCCTCTACAGCTTCTTCCCTCACTCGTGAGCAGTTGGGGGAGAGGGGTATGACAAGATGGCAGTGGCACAGCCCCACTCTCTCCCTCCATGTGATCACAATGGTGTGAAGGACACTGACCCAAAATCACTTCTGTTGCAATACATTCAAAGCTTTTCCCATGGTGTGGCTAGACTATACCAGTTTTTGCCAACTGGGTATTCTCCAGATGTTTTAGACTACAACTTGCATCAGCCCCAGTCAGCTGGCTGGGGCTGATGGGAGTTGTAGTTCAAAACATCTGAAGCATATCAGATTACGATACGATACAATAATCTTTATTGTCATTGTCCCATACAGAACAACGAAATTGAAAAATCTACATAAGACATTCAAAAACCAACAAGCCTGCTATCCCAGCTATCCCAAGCTGGTTAGCCCGCTAAAAACTCTGATACCCCATTTTTAAATACTCCCATAGAGACTCCTTATATTGCATTTAAAACCAAAATCGCATTTGGGTAGAAACTGTTTCTCAGGCAGCTAGTCCTAGTCTTTATAACCCTGTACCTTCTTCCAGAAGGCAGAAGCTGAAAGAGATCATTTCCGGGGTGTGCACTATCCTGCGCTATCTCTGCAGATTGTTGAAGGCTCTGTGATTCTGTTCTCTTATGAGGATCATGCCTATTTTAAATGGATCAGTTCCTAGACATTTTCCCAAGCTTTTTGCTCTCTTTAAAAAACAACAAACACCACACCTTCTGCTTGCTGATTTCTTTTCTTTTTTTGTTTATTTAAATAAGCTGAAAGTTTAATTAACTGCCCTGTCACCACTGACTTTTCTCCATCCCAAATTACAATATGACCCATAGTCTGTATGTGTGTGAGTTTAAAATACTGCTGATTTTTTTCCTTGGTAACATTCTTAAGCAATAGAGTATTTAATTTCTAAGACTGAAACGAAATGGTATGTCCATCTTTCAATTACATGGTTATTGGTGCAAGATCTGCATAAAGCTGAGACTCTTACCTTAACATCTACTGTTTGTGCTAAAACACCCGCTGTGAAGAGACAAAATGAATATATAAATGTGAGTAATGCAGTCTCAGGTCAATGAATAACAATACCTCCATGAATCAATAGGCTAAAAAAAGCTCTTGAGTCTAGATTCTTCATAATACTTCTGGAAACATTCCAACCAGAGAGACCACATCTTGATTTGTCCAGACTCAATGGATTTATCCAACTAGGGTCCATTGCAATCCCTTCCTACAATCATCTTGCCCTCAACAACATTTTGCAGGCATTGAAACAGTCCTGGATTCCCTCTCTCTCCTTTGTACCAACAATTATAGATATAAATACATCCTAAGGTGCTGTTTTGATCTACTACATATGTGCCTTTCACAAATTGTCTATTCTCATATGCAAAATAATATAATTTCTTTTTTTTTTAAAAAAAGACCAATTTGACATGCATTTTTAACAATTGCTACTCTCCTTTTTAAATAAAACAGGCTGCAAAAATGGCTCCTAACTTTCATGTTAATTGGTTATGAACAGCACTGGGGACAGATTTAGGCACTTTGTAGATTTTGTATTTCCAAAATATACAGGGCCACTGAAAATCTCTTTTGTGTCTAGCAGAAACTAATCCCTGGGGTCCACCAAGACAAAGGGCAGGTTATAAACAAACAAATTAAGGTTGCAGTCTTAACCTACCAACTTGCTATAAGTCTTATTGAATTCAGTTTCTGAATAAAGAGTATATAGCAGGGTTGGGGAACCTGCAGCCCTTCAGATGTTTCTGGACTTCAGCTTCCATCATCCCTGTCCATTGGCCATGTTGGCTGGGGCTGATGGGAGTTGGAGTCCAACAACAATTGAAGGGTTACCTTTTCCCCAACTCTGGAATAATAACACTTCATGCGGCCAATGAACTGAATTGTGGGCCTCCAGATGTTGTCAGATCCCAGCTCACTTCAGGCCAATGGTGAGAGATGATGAGCGTTCTAGTCCAGCAACATCTGAAGAGCACCACGTTGGCTAACCTTGATGTAGATGATGGTGTTGTCAGCCTGCCTAACTTCTGTTGACCTCTGCCTTAACAGTGCAAGCCTGCTTGTGTTTTCTCAGGAGCCCCATTCTATTCAGTGGTGCTTACTCCCAGGTAAAGGTGCATAGGATTGCAACCCAAGACTATTACAAACTATATATTTTTGAGCTCCAATAGCAATGGCCATGCCAGGACTTTCCCTCCTTTCTCTCCCTCATCCCATTTTGCTGAACATCCAGCCTGAGACATTCCGGAAAAGTCAAAACTTTGCTTACTATTTGTGATATTTTAGTTACCCCCAATAAATGTATTACCCCACAGTAGTTTTCAGCACAGCTACTTCTCTCTCTCTCTCTCTCTCTCTCTCTCTGCATTCAGTTACCATCCCTCCCACTTCTAAATATGGATTTCTTGCAGGAAAAAAAACCCCAGCAGCTTCAGCTTCCCTTCTCTTTTTGAAGTTTTAAACCAAATAATGAACTCATTAATTTTCATATTACACAGGAAGTGGGCCAGGAAAAGGAAGCTGCCCTGTTGAGGAACTTATTAGCACATTTGTCTCCTTTACACAGAGTATTGATTCAGACATCTGATTTGCAGGCAAACGGGGTTCAAAAGGAATAGGGCGGATTTGTTGAGCACACATTCTAAGAGTGAAAAGACAGCTGAATCTAGAGGCTCGGCCATTGACTGGTTGAAGTTTAGAGGACTACAAAGCTAGCATCATTCATTGGCATTCCCCAGCCTGGTGCCCTCCACATGTTGGTGGGCTATGTAGCTTTGCAAGAGTTCCCCCCTAATGGATTGATGTAGGCATAAATACAAGGGAAGCCTTTCTAATCCCAGAGAACAACTCTTAAGAACCTGAGCTAGAAGCTTCCTCCTGTTTGATTCTCTGAGCAAACACTGATGGGCCAAAACTAGCAGATGTACAAGAATTGAATGAAGCTTGACCTCCAAGTCATGATGGCTATATATTACTGCCAGGAATGTAGGCACATTATTATTACTATTACAGAGCCAGACATTGGTCTATCTAGCTAGGTATTGTCTACACTGCCTGGCAGCAGCCATCCAGGATTTTCGATGGGGGTTTCTCCCAATCCTACCTGGAGATGCTGGGGATTGAACCTGGAACCCTCTGCATGAAAAGCAGTGCTCTCCCTGGGGAAAACTGCAGTCAAATCCGACAGTGCATATTCTTGTTACTTGGTGAGCTTAGGAGCTAATGACCCCAGAGCTGTATTGCTGATAGGCAGAGACTCAGACCATAGAAATGTAATTGGTAGAGAGGGCTCTGTGTGATGTCATTTCCCCCTCCTCTCTTGAGTGGGAAGAATCAAAGAAGTATTTCCTATTCCTTCCCTCTCTCTTTCTCTTCGACCAGCAGGAGGACATCTGACTGTGCCAGGGGCTGGCAGGGCTGTGAAGAATGTGTGGTGGAGGCAGAGGACCAAAGCAGTGGCCTGTTCTCATCCACCGCATTCAAGAAATCCAATAACAGAGTTGTGCACAATTGCACACAATTATCATTGTGCGATGCTAATTAAAAATAGTATTTAAACCCAATAAAATGGCTATGATTGTAGTGCCATACAACTTGAGGCCAGAATTACACAGACGTTTATGTATGTGTGCCACCTCTCAGCCCTACCTGCCCACCATGATATAATTCACATTCCCTGGGGAAACACAGTTCTTCCACCATCCCCACTGTCAGATTCCTTTCCTTCATTTTATGAAATGAATGGATCTGGCCTGCTTTGTTTTCCAGTGGCAACAACTTCCTGATCACATCTGAGCTCATCCACCTCCCAGATGACTGCACCATGGGCTATATCATTGAACGTAAGCTAGCCGGTCACTTGGTCCCTAGTGACCTGTTCCACTCTCACCTGGAGAACTTGTACGTCATCCAGGGTCCCCAACTTACTAAGCAGGTGAGATGATGCAGGAAACACCATCTTTCCCTTGTTGGAGAGAGTGGGCACTTTCCAAATGAACTGTTTTTGAATGACAGTTCAGATGCATGAAATTGCCCCTCCGCTATGCATTTGTTGCCCAGAATCCAATCATCTCCTCTTGAAGTTGCACATCGGTCGCCGTGATATAGCATTTTCTCAGTCAAATTGGGATGTATTGTATTTTGTACCTGGGGGTAACATAATTCTTTCCCCAGATGAACTCATCCATTGCTGCTGAGATTGCTGGGGCCAGCCTTACACTTTTCACTACCGCCTGTGGCATGATATCTCCCCATCCATTATGTGTGACCAGATAGCCTGCTATTGTCTTTGAATGGGGATTCGCAAGACTATCAAAATGCGGCTGGGGTTGTCTGGATAAGAGAGAGAGGGAGGGAGGGAGGGAGGGAGGGAGGGAAGGAGAGTCAGGAGAAGGAGAGAGGAGCAGGCAGGAAAGCAGTCATTCACATCATCTCCTCAGTAATTGTGACACTGATTGAATCAATCATGCATTATTTAGAGGAGGCTTTCCTGACAAATGCTTCCCCAGACACTTCTCTGCAATAATAGGCAAGGGGATGGAAAAGCAATTAACTAGCCAATAAAACTTCTGCCAGTCAAAGTCCAAGAAAAGGCAACTCCTTCCACTCAAGAGTAGAAGTCGTAGTGCCAATAACTTGCCCTCTTCTCCCCTGAGGGCAGTGTGACCCAACCAGCAGAATCACAGAGTGAAACTCTTGCTGGACTGTACCATTTTAGAAAGCAGAGGGTAGGCCACATATTTCAGGTGGGGAACTTGTGGCCCTCCAGATGTTGTTGGACTCCAGTTCCTATTGGTCCCCTTCAGCACGGCCCAATGGTCAACGGTGAAGGGAGGAACACCTAGCAGCCAATGAAAAGGCTTGGTAAGTTAGAACACTTCTACTGTTGTTGCTGTTGTTAAACAAATGTATATACTGCTTCATAGCATGAAGCCATTGAAGCACTGTATAAAATAGAAAATAACACAAAAATGCAAACTTTAAAAACAAGGAAATAATTGCAACAAACTGTGAAAACAACAACATAGCCATTTCTGCCACTATGCTGTTAATATTCCATAAATGACTGGGTCAGACCTTGGGGAAACCTTAAACAAAAACGTGTTCAGTAAGTACCAAAACATTAGGCACCTGTCTAATTTTGGCAGGTGATTGATTCCAGAGGGCTGGAGCTGTGATACTAAAAGCCCAGTTTCTAGCACAAGCTAAGCACACACTGTCTCAGGAGTGCCCCATTGTACCTGGTATAGTGGTTTCTATGTTGGTTTTTAAAAAAACCAAACACCAACAGCACGGGGGGGGGGGTGGATGGTGGCAGAGAGGTTTCATCTTGAATACTCTATCCCAACTAGAACTGCCCCCATGTGATTCTGCTGGTTATGTCCTTCAGCTCTTTAACCTGATCCCTTGCATGGCAATTGCTCGAAGGCGAAGAGCCTGGGAAAATATGGCTAAACCTGTGTTCCCAACAAGTCTGGAGCACCTCGAGAAAAGAAAGGTTACTAGAAACTACCCAGGCATTGTAATTTGGCTTTGAATAGTTTTAAGGTAGCAGAATGCATGTGTGTGTAATAAATTGGAGAGGGCAGGAGACTCGTACGGCTGAGAAGTATCTCTGGCTGTGATGCGTAAAAGGAGTTTGTTGCCCACAGGGCACGTATATTCCTCAGTCATCTCTCTTCCTTTCTGGTATTTCCTTGTAGGTCACTCTCAGCTATGGCATTTTTGAGAAGAAGCTCAATGTCATCGAGCTTTCTGGTCCTTTTTCTCCACAAGATGACCCTTCCAGGTATCTCCCATGAGAGCAGATCTTTCACAACGTGCTGGCAATGTTAAGAGGGCTTGAAGGACAAGGGTAAAAAGCCTGAATAGAGCCAAACCGGGGGTACCAGCAGAGCTTTGGGTGGGGATGATGCTGATGAGGAGCAGAAGCCTGCAGTCCTACGGCCAGAGCTGAGCTAAGCATTTCTGCTGCTCATGGTTTGCTCTCTTTTATCACCCTTTAAGCTCAGCCTTTATTGCAAAGTCTGGAACCGAAGCCAAACATTCAAGGTTATTCAGCCCCAAGGGGATGGGCAGGGCGTACTTTGGCTGAGGCGCCTATTAAATCTACACAGAATTAGAGGGTGAGAAGCATCCATCTAGGCATTTCGCTGCAGTGCAGTGTGAGAGCATCTGGTGTTGGATGGGGCACTGGGGAGCACGTACTCCTCACATGCAGCCCTTTCCCCATCTGCAGCAAGAGCAGTCTCTTTACATTTCTTCTCTCTCTCTCCCCCTCCTTTCTAGGTTCCGATCGCTTCACTGCCTTCTTTATCCAGACACTTCCTGGTGCCCACAGCCAGTCATCCTGTGAAAACTGCTCAGAAGGTCTGACCATGAATGGTGGAGAAGAACATGAAAAGAGCCCTGCTGGACCAAACCAAAGACTTACCTAGCCCAGCCTTCTGTTCTCACAGTGGCCAAGGGGCCCAGGGGCTGGCCACTAGCAGGATATCAATGCAACAGTACTCTACTGCTCCTGATCTCCATCAACTGATGGAGATGCATGTGGCAGTTCACAGCCATCATGGCTAGGAGCTCTTGATAGCCTCATCCATCACAAATTTGTTTATTCCCCCTGTAAAGCTGCCTAGTATTCCAAATCCCTGTTCAACAGAGACCACAGTAGCTGTGTGTTGACTTAGCTGAGGGCTTTATTGATTACTGAAGGAAGAGCTGAGGCAAGAGGGGAGATACGTTAAAGTGTGTGGCAAGAGGATGGATTGAGAGCTGCTCTTCAAGTTATGTCAAACGACGTAGTAAGTAGACTGCAAATGTGACTGCCCTTGGGCCAACTCACATAACATCTGCTGTGAATCATATCTCCTTACATGCCACATGTACACTTTCATGTGTGACTCAGTTCATATGCCTTGCCTATGCTTCAGGCACATGTGATGCTCTACATGTGCCTGAAGATATGTTGGAATACACAAGCCTGGTGTTTTTCCTGAAAGTGCCACACCACTGCTTTTGAACTTTGGGTTCACAGATGTTGCCAGACTACAAATCCCTTCATCCATGGCCATTGGCTGAGCTGGCTGTGGGATGTGGGGACCCAAGGTTCAAGAACACTGTTCTGTATGGTTTAGGGACCAGGGTCTTGTCCGATTAGCATTCTACCCTGACATTGACAGCATCAGTTGTGTCACTGTTGCCTACAGGGATGGACATGTGAGGCAGTGGGGATATTGGGGCAGTGCAGATGCACCAGCACGTGTGCCAGATTTGGTCTGCCAGAACATTTGCACTGCATGGACTTTGCTGCCAACTTGCCCCTCCTCCTCTGCCTCTCAGGAAGCAGCAATGATGTGACTGATGGGTGGTTACCACCCCACCACCCTGTCTCCTGCTGGTCATTGAGATAACCATCAGAGACTTCTCTGGGTGTACAAATTGCAAAGACTGATAACAGTCAAAGAAAAATCCAAGAGCAAAAAAAGATGTGAACCATGTCTCTTGTGCAGTTGTCCTCTATTTTCGCTTTTCTCCTGGTGACCTAAGGCAGGTTGTGACTAGAGAGAGTCTCTGGGACCATAGGCCAGTGGAAGAGCTTCTGCTTTACATGCAGAAGGTCCCAGGTTCAATCCCCAACATCTCTAGGAGGCCCTGAGAAAGACTTCTGTCTGAATCCTTGGAGCATCACTGTCAACTCACTATATTGCAGTACCCACCTTTGGAATGCTCTCCCCATGGAGACGCACCTACCATTCTGGTACCCAGCTTTGTTTTCCTAGGCTTTGCCAGACATTGTAAGGCACTGAGAAAGTTGTGTTTTTATCTGCTGTGTTTTTACTCTTTTTATCTTTCTTTGGCTGTTCAAATATTATTGCATTTAATGTTTGATTGTATTGTTCTGTTTTTATTGTGAGTCATTCTGGGAATGAACACTTGTTGAAGGTGTCGGATGAACAAAATTAATCAACACATAAAATGTCCAAGAATGATTCTCTACTCACTGAAATCTGAAAAGGAACCCTTAGCTGTATCTGCAGTAGCAAAAGTAATGGGAGGCACTTTTGTTTCTCTACCAATTAAGGCAGCCTTCTCAGTTACGTCCACATGTGCCCAACATAGCACAATTCAAGGTTCTGGCCTTGACTTATAAAGCCACAAGGACGTATGGAAAGCCTGATGGATCAGGCTAAAGTCTGAGTATCCTTCAGAAATCTTGAACTGGGTTTTAGCAGAAGCAAAGTTAGGGGTGGTAATAATAATACTGGTAGCAACAATAATTACTTATAATGTTGCGTGGGGTAGGGTTAGGCTGAGAGATGGTAACTGGCCAAAATGAGCATTATTACTCTGCCAGAATTAGAACTTTAATTCCAGCTTGACACCCTAATGACATAACCACACTAGTGCCATTTGGATTTTGCACCTCAGGCACCAGATTGTTTTGGGTTAGCTCTGCCTCTTTGTGAATCAAATCTGTTGATTTTGTTAAACCACTTTCTAGGGATCTGGAACTTTGGCATTTCCTACCAACTTCTCAAGCAGCAGATTTTTAAAGGGCTGCCCTTACTCTAACATTCTACGTGACTCTACACCTTAACATTTTGTCTCTAAGGAGCCTGTTCTTTCATCTGAGAAGTTTCTGGCGACAATCCTGGCCTTGTAACTTCCAGCTATTCCTCCCTCTGAGTACACAGAGGCGTGTGAATCAAATAACAGGGCACTGATCAAAAGCCCTGGGAAAACGAAGCCTGCACTTCAATGAAATGTGAATCAGTGTGCGTTCTGAAGCCCTTGGTGCGAAATGAACCTTTTAAATAAATAAATAAATTTGAGTGAATGGATGGTGGAGAATTCATTTTTTATTTTTTTGATCAGGACAGAAACTTAGCGCCTTTCGTGGAATAATCCACAGTCTGTAAAAGCAGGTCCCTGTCTTTGGTCTGTCCAATGCTCAGCTCCAAAACTTTAAGAAGAACCATTCCATCTGAAGAACTGAAAAGAAGGATAAGCAGTGCTTTCTTCTGGGGGTACTCAAGGGGGTACCAGATCCTATTTTTCCCCTAAAAGACATGCACTGAGGATAAGGAGATCAATGACCACCAACCTGCCCACAGCGAAAGTCCCTACGCACAAGAATGAAAAGAACAAGAAATTGTATTTGCAATATACTACACAAACAAACATGCCAGTTACTACGAAATACCAGTAATACTCCATTTCAGCTAAATGTAGCCTTTCTCAAATTTGTATAATTTGGGAAGAATTATTTTTGTGCTGAGCTTTAAGGCAGCATCTCTCCTTGAAGTTCGACATGAAAAGACTCTTACCCGAGGGGCTAGGACTGGGTTAGGCAAACTCAATAAAAGATTACATTTGGGGCTTATCTGCACTGAAGCAAAATGTGGATTTGCACCTGCCTGTCTCCCCACTAATGTAGGCGGGGGTGCTTCTGTATGTCTTCCTTATCTTAGTGTTGTCCTGGACCTCCCCCCACCCCACCCCCGTCCTTTAAATGTAGGTTTCCCCCAATCCTGGTCATTCTGAATTTTCCAAGCATTGAGAAACCCTGAAATTAAAAGGAGAGGTCTGGGATGATGCTGGGATGGGGAGGGAATTGTGGATGCCCCATCGTTAGGAAAACACTAATGATTCAATTCTCATCATTGCAATTCGACATAGAAACAATACATAACCATGCCAATGGAACACCAGTAATAGTCCCATTTCAACTAAAGGCTGACTGCACCATTGCAAAGCATTGATTTGCCCCTATCTGAACCCCCCTCCCTATTAATGATGTTTTCAACATGTATCCCCAAATAGTTAAGATATTTCCAAACCAGCTAGAGAGCTCAATTGGGGATAACTGTTTAAACATATTTCCATTAAGAAGGATTTGGGGATGTTGTACTTAGATCATAAGCAGAATAAGACTTAGAAATACAACGTTTGCTGTGAATAAGGACCAAAAAACTATTCTGAAGTGCTTGATTGTAGCAAAGCCTGAGAAGAGGGTATAAAATGCCTGTAATGCATGAGGTAGGAGGGAGAGAGAGAGAAAAAAAATATCTGGGCTTAGAAAATTACTTGGCTTTGAAAAAGAAAATTAAATGGGGAATATAACATTCACCAGGTTTTAAAATGCTACCATAAAGATGATGTAGAACACCCGGTTGTCCACTGAGGGAAAGATAAGATCAAATTAATTGGAAGTACCAGCACTGTAGACCAGATTGGTTGTCTTGGGTTATTCCGTGCATATAGAATTTGCTGCAGAATATGGTAGCCTGTTCAGAATCCTAAGTATCTGTCTATCTATCTATCTATCTATCTATCTATCTATCTATCTATGAAATATGCCAAATCATCTCATGGCTATCTTCCAGCATGACCAAGAGGTAGCGGGGACTATGAAGACTGGGGCTTGAGGAGTGAGTTAGCAGCAATTGCAGCAGTAGATTCATGTCAATACATGAGGAGATGAATAAAGAGAGGTGTTGGTTACAGAAGAAGCAAAAAGACTTTGTCATAGCCGCCAAGACAATGACTTGTCGGAGGGCATTTTTACATCTCCTGCTCCGGGTATTGAATGAGACACTAGATTCTACCTTTGTTTCTCTGAGGAAAACAGGGGTCATGTTTGTGGGCTAGGGCTCACATACCTCTTCTTTCCCTCCACAGCTGCTGGAGCACCCCCTGGCCACCAAGATTATGGCAGGGTGCCAATTACGCTCTCAGGGCATGATTTCCAAGCATGTCGTATAGCAGCTGTGTTCAAGCTAAAGGCAATGACCCTGGACACAGTTGTCCCTTCCTTAGGGAATAAAGCTGGGGATTCAGGCCATGAGAGGGAAGTGCTCTCAGGGCCAGCCTCAGAATTGCCTAACCACAACGAGAGCTTGTGGCATCATCCCCTCCCCCGCCAGCCTGAAGACATTGTATAGCCCTCCTCTGACTCAGAAGACCTCAGCTTGGAAGCCCTAGAGCAGGGCGGTCCAACACATGGCATGGGGGTCGCATGCAGGTGACACTGTGGTCTGAACTACTGAGCCTCTTGGGCTTGCTGATCAGAAGGTCGGCGGTTCAAATCCCCACGACAGACTGAGCTCCCGTTGCTCTGTCCCAGCTTCTGCCAACCTAGCAGTTCAAAAGCATACCAGTGCAAGTAGATAAAGAGATACCACTGAGGCAGGAAGGTACACGGTGTTTCCATGCACTCTGGTTTCCATCACGGTGTTCCTTCGCTCCAGAAGCAGTTTAGTCATGCTGGCCACATGACTCGGAAAGCTGTCTGGCCAAATGCAAGCTCCCTCGGCCTGAAAGTGAGATGAACGTCGCAACTCCATAGTCGCCTTTGACTGACCGTAACCATCCAGGGGTCCTTTACCTTTACTTTTACCTTATCCTGGTGGGTTTTGAGGAGAGGTCAGAAGAACGTAAGGGTGTTTGCCTCATGGGGTTGTGGAAGGTCGCTTGAGGCCTAATGGGGAGCAAGGGAGAAAGGATGGAGTTGCTTGTGGAAGCAGAAAGATGGTGAAGTTAAAACAAATGAAGGTCATGTGTCAGGATATAAGGGTGGAGAGATAAAGTGGGCAGGCAAGGACATGGAAGGTTTTGAAGTTGATGTGATGTAATAAATAAAGAACGATGTCTTGGACGTCAGTTGTTATATAGCCTTAAGTCAACAAACTAGATTTGGGAAAGCCAGATTAGTGTCCTGCTATTTTGCACAGAAGGGGCTCTTTGCAGATTTGTTTCATATTGCCAGGAAACCTATGGACAGATGCTCAATATCAAAAATATACATGTTTGCTTAATAAAAGGATTATAAAGGTAATGCGAATATTATCAGGCTACAAAAACATGTACATGAAATAATGTGGTTCCTAAAATACAAGAACAACACAGTCTGCAATTACAGAAATGCCAAGGTTCTCGAACTTTAGTTAATCACATCCATTCTAAATTCTCTTTGCGAAAACAACAACACAGGTTTATTATGAACAGACTCCCCGAAGGATTTTAAAGTCTTTGGGTAGGTACAGATTTAAGTACAGGTAGCAGAAACTAATTAGTTTACCTTTAGGCCAGTTGGCCAGCCTTCAAAAAAGGGAATTTCAATAATATTTAGGAGTTCAAATCCCAGCTCTTATCCTTGCAGTAAAATTACCAAGTCATTTTAGTTTTAAAGATGAATACTGTTATGGGAAGTGTATTCTTACAATCCAGGGGGGAAAGGCAAGGGATCTTTATGGTTGCAAGTCATCTATGGCAAAAGTGCTTCAATGCTCCATGGGAGAGGTTTTTAATCTTATCTTTGAGGGTCGAGATCTGAGTGGCCCCTCTGTTGCTCATAAGCACATAGCCTGCAGATTCCATCAGTATCCAACAGGTGGTGGTAACTTCTTATGAACTTCCATTAAGAATTCTCTGGGAGATATATGCGAAGTTCCATTTAGGACCTGCAACAAAATGTTGCAGCGTGGAGTGCTGTTCAGGCATCCAACCACCCAGCCAACCACTGAATAATCTCAGGCATATTTTTATACTCCTCCACCCCCACCTTTTTTGACTATTTTCTAAACTAGAAAGCCCCTTGTCCTCATAGGGGAGTTCCTACAGCCTCTTGGTCTTTTTGGACACCCATTTCTTGCCTGCCTAGGTGTTGTTGGCCTTTGTCAATCTTCTTCACTTGTGTGTTCCCTTCTGCACTTTCGGGTGCAAGTCCTTGCAGGCCAAGTTTATATTTTCAAAACTGATTGTGGTTCTAAATAAGCAGAGCCTCTTTAAGGCTGTTCCTGTCGCAGCCCCGCTCCCCTGCAAGTGACAGGAGGGAGGAGAAATCTCCTGCAAAAAACTAATTTATTTCCATGTTTGAGGTGATGCGTTATTAATTACTGACCTGAGGTCTGTTGAGCTGCTGATCTCTGATGTTTAAATTGCTTCCCAGGACTTAACAAGGTCATGGAAGTTGGTCAAATATTTAGACTGAACACAGTAAAACATCATTTTGTGCCTCTTCAACCAGATGCTTGTTATTTAACAAACTCTCTGGGCAAATTAAGTTGAATGTCTTGTTCATGACTTCTTACAACTTGCCTCTATTTCTGCTGGAACACTGACGTCTCTACAGCAATAGACCTTGGGAAAGGAGAAGCATGTGTCTGCATTAACTCTTCTGGCTACATCCAAGGCCCAGCAGCATCCACCTTTTCTTGCAGCAGTAAGACATAATCCGCCTCATCCCACCAGATGCTGTAGCTTTTGAGCTGAGCAGCCACTGTTTAATCCGCCAAGCCCCAAAGGTGTCTTCACCACTCACCTCTTTCAATAATGTTGGCTGGCTCAGCTCCTCCCATAACTGGTGATGAGCTCCGCACACACTGGAACCGGTGATGAGCTCTGCACACACTGGAACCTTTGTCTCCATGAAGCGTAATGTCTGAATCCGACACCACTGAGCTAGGTGGGCCTCAGCATAAGGCAGAAGCAGAACATCCTACCTTCCAACATTCCTGAGATGGAAATCAGAAAATCGTGGGTCTTTTGGTGCCATGCTGCACAGCGCCTACATGGCAGCTGCATGCTCCCTTCCTCCCTCCCCGCTCGCTTCCTCTGCCCACCCCACACCTCATGCTGGTATGACAGGGGCAGCAGCTATGGCTGTGGCGGAGAGGGGCCAGCAAAAGTGTTGTGCACGTCTGCCGCAGGAACTGCCTCTCCCGCGTACGAGGGTTCCGCTTCACGAGGGTTCCACTGCAAGCACAAGTGCTGGCTGCAAATGGCGGCGCATCCTCCTCCTGTGCTGTCAGGCTTCGGGGAAGTCCGTCCGTCCCCCGGTGGCAGCAAGGAGCAGAGAAAAACAAGGAAGAGTTCTTACTAATGAGTTTATTCAATCATCACAGTGAGAGACAAAGAAGAAGAAGAAAAAGAGTTTGGATTTGATATCCCGCTTTATTACTAACCAAAGGAGTCTCAAAGCGGCCAACATTCTCCTTTCCCTTCCTCCCCCACAACAAACACTCTGTGAGGTGAGTGGGGCTGAGAGACTTCAGAGAAGTATGACTAGCCCAAGGTCGCCCAGCAGCTGCATGTGGAGGAGCGGAGACGCGAACCCGGTTCCCCAGATTACGAATCTACCACTCTTAAGCACTACACCACACTGGCTCCCATTAATGGCGTTGCTCCAAGTGAGCTCCTCCCCCTAGTACAGCACTTCCCCTTATAGTGGCTCCCAGGGGCTAATTTCTCTGAGTCCTTTGCTCTTGCACCCTCAATGAATGCTGTGTTCTGGGAGAAGGGGGATCAGAACTACTCTCCAGTGATAATAGAACAGCTGGCTGCTCTGTCTCTGCCTTCTCTTCTCCCAACACCTCCCAACTTTTCTGTTTGCCTGTCTCTGAGCTGTGACCTTCCTCAAACCACTGCTGTAATTCAATACTGCCTTCCTCTTCTCTGGAAGCTTCCGTAGAAAGAAGGGGGGGGGGATCTCCACCATTCCTCCTCAAGCTCGTCCCCTTCAGTCAAGTCCCTGACATGTGCTCCATGGTGGTGGTAATGGAGAGGTAAAACGGGATATTTTGGGATCAAATCAGAAGCTGGGATGGCTTCTGTAATTCCAGGACTTTCCCGGGGAAATCGAGACACTTGAAGGGTATGGCATATATGCCAGAACTTTGGAAGAAGAGTCATTGTGTGGTGACACCAGGTTCAACTTGCAGCACTTCCAGGGAGAACTGCAAAAGACTCCCTGCCTGAAGAGCTGCTGCTGGACCGTGCAGGCAATGCTGAGTTGGTGGAGCGGTTCCTTTGTTTCTAGGTTGTTTGCCAGCCAGGATGTAACAGCTCCCTTCTTCAGCTTAGAGGGAGGTAGGTCCCACTTTCACAAACCTCTCCTGTATGAAAGCAGCAGGGAACAGCATGAAAAAGAGAGAGGCCTGGCCAGACACAGGGACCAGAAAATGCTTCCATGCTCCGCTCTCCTTTGGCACATCGAGTTGGATTCCTTCCTTCCTCGTGGGCTGGGTTACTCACTTGGGCCTGCACTCTGCCTGATTTATGATGTGTTTCTCTTGCTCTGGGGAGCAATTGCACATGCTGGAGCTGTCATTATTTACATTCCCCTTCCCAGCAATGGCTGTGTGTCTCGCAGCAGGGGAGGGATGGCTGTGCTCGATAAAGCACGTACGCCTTGCGCTGTATCGACACCCATCAGCTTAGCTCCGTTATTGCCACAGCTCCCGCGAGGAGCACCATAACCGGCGCGCAAAGATGGATCGCCCAGTCCAAGAGCAAGCCAAGCAGAGGCGGGAAAAGCTCCAATCCGTGTGATTTGGTTCTTTCTCCAAATGGAAAGATGGGGTTCTGTTCACCCAGGAGAGGCTTGATAGGAGCCATTACCCCGGGTTTCTCTCCATGCCCCATCAATTCCATCACCGCAGTGGGAAACTTACACCCTAAGCTTAGAGGCTCTATTTTGCGTTGGTGAAATTTCTCTTTTCTCACATTGAAACCTCCCTTCCCTGCCCTCAAGGACTTGAGGTTGGTGTACATGGGGAGTGTCCCATGTTATCCAGATAACAACCATCTGAGAAGGGCCAATGCTTCTTTACATCTTTGCAAATTTAGCTGCAGTTTCTGAGGCACAGATTGCCTCTGTTGACTTTCACATGAACAGGTGCCTCTATACAAGCCTTGCAAATAAGCTCACAGAAGTTACTAGCCTGCAAAGTATTATTATTTCACTAGCCTGCTAAGAGGCTAGTAGCTAGGTGGAGAGGAAGGCTCTCTACAGCCAACATGGAAACACAAGCTACTAGCCTTTTAGCAGGCTGATGTAAAAGGAATATAGGAACATGTAGCTCAGTATTGTCCACATTGCCTGGTAGTGGCTATCCAGGGTTTGAGGAAGGAGTTTCTTCCAGCCTACCAGGAGACACCAGCAATCAGAATAAAAAGAGAATTCCAAAGAGTCTCCTGAACTTCCCTTCTCCCCTTTGTGGGTCCTTATATTAACCTTTCCCTCCTGATCTTATCTATTAATCTGAATCTTTAAAATCTCCATTATACCCCAAATTCAACATTAAACTACAAGTGTTATTCCCAACCTACTAATAATTTTTATTGTTTAAAATAGTTTTTAAGGTAGATTATATATTTTCCCATTCCTTATTAAAATTTTGGTCTTCCCGGTTTCTGATTCTTGGCATAGTCCAATTGGGCATAGTCCATCAACTTAATCTGCCATTCTTCTCTGGTAGGAACTCAAATCAGAGATTAATATAGACCTTCTGGGAGGGAGTATGGAATGGACATGCTATAAGGCAGATTCCTCTACCTAAGGCAGGTCATTGGTCCATCCAGCTAGCCCAGTAACTAACTACACTGACAAGCAGTAGACTTTCAGGGCATCTTTCTCAGTCCTACCCAGAGATTCTAAGAACTGAAACATAGCACAAACAATTTTTTAAATATATATGTATATTCCAGATTTCAAAGTCCAAACTGAACGTTCCCCACTCCTTTGAAGGAGCAAGTTCAAAACGAAATTGTTTTAAAAGTATATTGTGGATTTCTGCTTTTGTGCTCACATTTAAGATTTTGCTGGCAAAATTAGTTGAGTCACACTTGCAGGGTGATGACCGCACACATGCCATTTAAAGCAGGGGGCCTGCAATCTTCCATTGTTGGATGCCCAATTCCCATCTGCCCCTACCAGCATGGCCAACAGCCAGGGATGATGGATGTTGTATTCCAGCAATGTCTGTCCCCCTGCACCTCATTGTCATGGGTTTCCATCCTTGATATGAAGTCAAATCCCCCTTCGACATATCTCACGACAAAGTAAAACTAAATGTGAATTTAAAAAAATTAAAGTGTGAATGTTCAATTGATCCTTGATAGAAGCATATTGAATTCTGCATTTGGATTTGGTGGCTTTAAACTGGGGTGGTTTTAAGGGAGGGTTAGACAGATTCATGAAGGCTAAGGCTATCAATGGCTACTAATCTGACAGATATGTTCTACCTCCAGTTGCTGGAAGATGCAGGAGGGTAGATTCTGTTCCATTCATGTTCTGCTTGCAGGTGTCCCATAGGCATCTAGTTAGTCACTGTGAGAACAGATGCTGGACTAAGTGGACCACTGGCCTGATCCAGCAGGCTCTTCTTATATTCTTAATTCTTAACTTTTGCTTCCATTTTGCTTAGATCCAATTCCCTGGGCCATCCTTAAGCCCCATGATAATGGAGGCAGAGAGGCTGCTACTCTGTTCTTCTCCTATCTCTGTAATCACTGTACCAGCAGCTTCATCTGCAGCAATTAGCAGGTGATAATAGTTAACCCCATGCCTTGAAATGCTTTGCCTACCAACTTCTCCAGATCAAGCTGTTCTCAAAGGGACAGGAGTTGCCTGGCCGTTTGGCAAGAGCCCAAGACCTAAGATGCCGGAAAAGCACAATTCATCAGGACAGGGGAAAGGGGAGGGAGGGGTTGAGACCACCACCACTGCTGCCAGGCCAGCGTAGGTGATATTCCCGAGCCAAAGCCTCCTCCCAATTGTCTTAATGCTCAGTTTAGCGTTAGAGAGCACGTCTGTTTTTAGAAACAGCAGCAGATTCCAGCATTGAACTGACTTTCTGAAGCAAACCACTCGCCATCTGCTCTATTGTCCTGGAGTAGCAGCTGAGGGAGGGGGGAGGATAATGCGGAAGTGAGAGCACATAAGGAGAAAGGGAGGGGGGAGAGGGAAAGGTGGAAGAAGAGAAGAGAAGGATAAAAGATAGGGGAGGAAATCCAAAGTGATTTTAAGAGAGGAAGACAAGAGAAAGAAGGAAAACAGGAAGGAGCTAAAATGTGTTTGGAATGGTGGTCATTCAGCAATAACGTAACAATGAACTGATTGCTCTGAGCTTTTCGGGTCATCTTTAGTGTGTTCTCTGAAAATCCAGGACCTAAGACAGGGGTAGGCAACCTAAGGCCCGGGGGCCTGATGCAGCCCAATCGTCTTCTCAATCCGGCCCACGGACGGTCCGGGAATCAGCATGTTTTTACATGAGTAGAATGTGTGCTTTTATTTAAAATGCATCTCTGGGTTATTTGTGAGGCATAGGAATTCTTTCATTATTTTTTTCCAAAATATAGTCCGGTCCACCACATGGTCTGTGGGACAGTGGACCGACCCACAGCTGAAAAAGGTTGCTGACCCCTGAGGTAAGAGATGGGGAGTTGCAAGGAGAGAAGAGAAGTTCCTTCCACCCTTTCAAAAACATTAACAAATCCTCATACAAGCAGTGCTACTATGAGGTATGAAGGACACTCCCTCGCAGGATCATCACCTTGTGAGTGGGCTTGCATGTTCCTATGATCCTTGTGAGCAAAGCTGTCAGGAGTCTCATACTCCCAGTAGGGTCATCCAAGGCAGTAAGGGGAGGAGCTAGACAAAAAATGATCCAAGAAGTCCTCAACGGCAGAACAGGCGGAAGATAACAAGCGGTATGTTACAACAGCTGTGAAGGAGGATGAAGGCTGCAGCATATAAGACACTACTGATTGTCATGATACTCATGCCATCGGAATATAGCCTTACGGTGAAGACTGTGCATTGGTCAGCGTGCACTGATCTCCACACATAAAACAAATTCACGCACAGGCATCTTCCAAAAA